ATTGTAGTAAATAATTATTCAATTCCAAAATTTCTCTAATTAACCCAAATACATATCCATTTCTCTAATTAACCTCCACCGATAATTATGGAAATAATTAAATAAGACAAGACATGGTAATCATCCCAATTAACAATCATCCCTAATTGATAACCGTAAACAATTCCATTAGGGGTCATTTGGATGAGGGTTTTAATAACGAGGGATTTGAGTTCAAATCTCTCCTTTAAAAAAAACAGGTTATTTAGATGCAGGATTTGAGACAAATATCCCGTTTGGTTATTGATCCAGGATTTTAATTAAATTGTTGAAGTTCAGATCTGAAATAGTTTTTTTCCGGGCATCCTCATGAGTGGCCGACGACCTTTCCTGTAACCTCGTCAACTCCAGCGTCTTCGAATCACCAGCGTCCTCACTGTTAGAAACTAGAAGTTTTGGAGCTGTTTTGTAATTGTTCATGTATATATTTAGTGTAACATGTGGAGTAGGGTTGCCGCAGCCGAACATATATATAGTCCTTTAGGGACTTATTGTAGGTATCTTGAATCTTCTGCTGAATAAGATAATCTAACCAAGCAATGAACACGGGATTTACGTGGTTTCCCCAACGATGATTGTTGAGACTAGTCCACGGCAGATGTTATCATTGATCTTACATATATACCAACTGAAGACCAGCCGGCAGATCTTCTCCCGAAGGCGGTAGCTTCTGCTCGCCACTGGTTTCTAGCACACAAATTGATGCTGCGTGAGCACCATCAATTTGAGGGAGGGTGTTAGAAACTAGAAGTTTTGGAGCTGTTTTGTAATTGTTCATGTATATATTTAGTGTAGCATGTGGAGTAGGATTGCCGCAGCCGAACATATATATAGTCCTTTAGGGACTTATTGTAGGTATCTTGAATCTTCTGCTGAATAAGATAACCTAACGCCTTGTGCCGTGGACTAGTCTCAACGATCATCGTTGGGGAAACCACGTAAATCCCGTGTTCATTGCTTGGTTAGATTATCGATTTCTTGGAGTTTGACACTCACAAGATCCCTGACCTCAATCGGGTGGATTTCCTCCCACACAAGTGTCTGTTGCTATCCTCTCTTATGGCGATCCGGAAAGAAGTGGTTGGAGTAAGAGACAGTTATAACTGATGACAGCGACAGATGAGAACGGTTGAACGCCAAAAACCCATCTCTGCATCACCTCCGAGCTGCGGGGAAGGAAGGCTCGGAGAGGGGTCAGGAGGGAGAAGAAGACGTCGACTTTCTTCACTGTGGGAGGGGATTGGTCGAAGAAAAGAAAGAAGAGGAAGTCAGACGTTGGTAAAGTATCAGTTAGAAGTTTATCTGAGAATGGAGGAGGGTAGGCTTTGGAAAAATGCAGTAAAAATGAGAGATTATGAAATAGCTGATCCCCATAAGCTATTTTAAAAACCTGCATTTGAGAGATTTAGAAATCCTTAATGCTAACAATCTCTCATTTTCCCAAACGCATAATTCTATTAAAATCCCGCATAATGAGTGATTGTTTTAAAATCCCTCACAAATCACTCATCACAAACCTGCATCCAAACGACCCCTTAATTGACTTGTCTTCCCTTAATTAATACTTTTAATTTCATTAACTTAAAATTGACATCCGAAAAAAATTCTTAATTTACATATCATATTCCATAACCACGTCAAATATCAATTCCCTAATTAAAAATAAGAAAAAGTTCCCTTAATTAACACTTTTTTTTTTACAAAAGATAATCATATATTGATACAAAAACATAGATAGTTACATCCTGGACCCCAGCCAGGCCCGAAAAATCAAAGAACGACTCGTAGTCGGATACAAAGAGAGGGCTCTTCTAGCCACCAAATGGGCTACCCTATTACTATGCCGACCTACAAATCGCACACTAAACCCAGGGTTGCTGCAAATATATTGTAAAACTTCTTCCAAAACAGCACCCATCCGGCTATCACTAGCATCCTTACAGTTGATTTCATCAATAATGACCTTGGCATCCCCTTCAAACCTCATCCCCGTGAAGCCCTGGCCTAAACACCACGCGATAGCCTCCCGGAGCACAAGCAGCTCCACCACGGTTGGGTCATCAATCCCCGGGAACTGGATCCCTTTAGCCATAAGCACACCCCCAGACGGAGACCGAAGAACCATACCACCTGTTGAATGTGATCCCTTCCTGGTAGCCCCATCCCACAGACAGACAAACAACCCCAGCAGCCTGGCCCAGCACACCTGGTGGAGAGCTCATCGGGGGGGGGGGGGGAAGGCATGGAGGGCGCATCCGCCGGCAGCCCCACCCATTCCTCATACTGTTGGGAAAACTGTCTCATCAAAGCGGGGAATCCAAACTGCTTTCCTTCAAACACCAGCCAATTTCTAGACCTCCAGATGCGCCAAAGGACCGAGACAACTGCCATGAGGAGCGTCGGCTGCTGAATTAAGGCCAGCAAACGCTTAAGAAACAGAGGGAAAGTATGTCGAGGCAACCCCTCCCCTAAGTATTCGAGCCCCGCATAACCCCAAAGAGCACGCGCAACAGGACAATCCAGAAACAGATGCTCCATGGTTTCCTAACCACCCCAACAGACAGGACAACAAGGAAGGATAGGGACCTTACGATCTATAAGGGCCTCAATGGTGGGGAGGATTCGATTCAAAATTTTCCAAACAAAGACCTTCAGCTTCGGGGGAATATTCGCCTCCCGCAAACGAATCCAACTCGATTTATCCATCCAACTAGCCGACGCCTTCCACCCTCCCTTAATTAACACAACTGAGCCCATAATGTAGATTGTGTATTATTAATCACAACCCAAACAAATCCTTTAATGAAACCATACGTGGGTATTGGTTCTAATAATTATAAATTTGAATAATTATTTATTTATTTGTATAATATTTATAAGTATTAATAATTCATTCATATAACTAGGGTTTGATTTTAACCATGTTCATATCCACATTTCTTTCCCCCTTTACACCTTCTACCCCTCCCAAACCCTAAACCCTTTTTCCAGCCAAATAACTACCTTCAACCTCGATCCATCCAATCCTACTACGACATTGTCTTAGAGTCGAAATCGTCTCTTCCTCCACTAACAACAATTGTTGGCATCATCAAAATACGCATGGGAGGCCCAAGAAACTGCTCGTTACGACCCACAGAGCCCCCTAAAACCTCGATGATAGTTTTGACACTACATACTTTTTCCCCCGAACGTCTAATCGAGAAACGGTTGATTCCACCATGTTCGAGCCACATTTTAGTGAAGCAGCGAAGGTTTCAATAATTCACATCGATAACTCTAGTAATTTAATAATTTTGTATCCTTATCTCGTTTTTTTATTGGCGAGTGAATACTTATCGTTTTGTTAATCACTACCAACCTAATTTAGCATAATAATAGTTATCACTAATTTACATAATCTATTGATTTTAACACTACCAACATTTTTTCTAATTAAATGATAATATGGACACAGATATAAAATAATAAAATTAATCCCCCCTAAACACCCCACTTACGGCAGACCCTTTTTCCACTATCATTTACTATAATAATAAATCATAATATTAATAAATTACTCCCCAATAATCAACGTAAGATTATTTTCATAATTAACAACTAAAAATAATTAAGTACAACTTTGAATGCTTACTAAAATGTGGCCTGATTTCTGAAATATTAAGGGGGTGATTAATCCTCTAATTAATTGTCAAAGGAATCTTTATTTATTTCCCTCTTTAAAATTAAATTATCTCAGATTAATCCTCTACTTAATTTCTGCAATATTAGTTCTGAACTTTCGTTGATGAATAGTGGATTGGGATTCAATCCCTCCGCGCATTCATTCTTATTGGTTCCAACTTCCAACTCTCTTTTCCATCCCCGAAGCTCGGAAAAAGCGGCACGAGTCGCCAACAGGAAGCATGGTGGTCCGCGCACCGTCGTCGGACGGGGTCCGCGCGCCACCTTTTGCCTGGTGCCTGACATTAACGACGGGAAACGACAATGCTGGGAAGACGATGCGGACGTTCTGTGAGTTATTTTGGGGTTGGATCGTCATTCGTGAGGATTTGTGGTGGTCGGCAGAGATCCCCGACAAAGGAAGGGAAGCTATTAGGTTTTGATTGTGGTGGTGATAATTGTGAAGGGAGAGCAAAAATGTCATTTACTTAAAATTTGTGGGTGGCAATTAATAATTCTACCGGCCGCAAATAACATCCCTCTAAAACCCGATCAACGAGTCAGGCAAAATGATTGTCTTATACCATATACATTACAAACTTCAAACTTTTAGTAAACCCATTGTAACTTACATTTACAACTTACAACTTACAGCGATATCACTGTTAAAAAAAAAACTCCAAAAAACCAACGAAAGCAAGTGAATTGCAAGGATGGTCACTGGGTTTACTAAAACCGTTCATGTTTGGTCACTGAAAATATTTAATTTCATTCATGATCACTAAGATTAGTTCAAAAGTTCAAGTTTGGTCACTCTCCGTTAGTCTCCGTTAGTTTTTGCTGAAGTGGCAGTCAACTATTATAGTTGACCGTTAAATGAGTGGCGTGGTCATTAAAAAAATAATAAAATAATAAAATTTAAATATTTACAATTTCCACCTCATTTTACAACTATTAAAAAATAAAAATAAAACTTACCGCGGGCTTCCCGCCGGCCGAACGACCAGCTCCGCTCGTGAATGTCCGCAACCAAATCACCGCCATGGACCCCAACTACGAGCTCGAGCTCGAGGACCTGGAGCTCTTCCAGCGCAACGTCTCCGTTCGACTTGTACCAGGATGTTTGAGTGTCGTAGCAGAACTCCTCTTGTACTATTTAGCCTTCTTTCTCTGGTAAAGGTCAGTTTGTTTATCGATCGGTTTCTCTATCTAAATTCCCATTTGGGTTTTTAGATTCTGGGTTTTGATTATGTGCAGCAAAATGATGTTTTCGCTGTTGGGGTTTTTTTTTCCAGGTGGGAACCAAAAAATGAGTAGGAGTAGCCGTTCAAGCCGAACTCTTTACGTTGGTAATCTTCCTGGCGATATCCGCTTGAGGGAGGTTGAAGACCTGTTCTACAAGGTAAATCATGAAATATAGGTTACAGATTAATTGCTTGATGAATGATTGCTATCTGATTTGGATTTGTCAAATTGCAGTATGGCCCTATTGTTGACATCGACTTGAAAGTGCCCCCGAGGCCTCCTGGTTATGCTTTCGTTGAGGTGAGTAATTGAGGGTTTTTTTTTTTATTATGGTTTCTATGTGTTGAGTAGAATGCATTCCTGTTGTAGTTGTTTTGTTCCAACGGTCTGTCTATTTATTTTAGGAGGTACTTGCTTTGCCGGTGTTTTGGTGTTCACTGAATGCATTATTTTGTTTGAAGGTTGAGCTTGCTCATGGAGGCCGCAGGCATTCATCACCTGTGGATCGCTATGACAGCTACAGTAGCAGCAGCAGTCATGGACCATCAAGGCGATCTGACTATCGTGGTATCGTTTTCTTCCGTTCCCCTGATGTTTTCGCTTTAGTCCTTGGTTGTTAATTGTGAATTCCATATCGATTCTTTATGCAGTTCTGGTCACCGGATTGCCTTCCTCTGCTTCATGGCAAGACTTGAAGGTATAGATAACTGATCCTCGGGTGCTGATGAGTGTTAGTTGGATCCTATGAATGTCACTTGCCGTGTCTAAGCTTCTTCTCGTTCTTTTAATGATCGGGATCATATGCGCTGAGCTGGTGATGTATGCTTTTCTCAGGTCTTTCGTGATCGCGGAGGTATATTCCAGTTGATTTTGGGTCGGCGAATCGGTCGGAGACGTTGCACTGGAAGAGCTCCAGGTCCTCGAGCTCGAGCTCGTGGTTGGGGTCCATGGCGGTGATTTGGTTGCTGACATTCACGAGCGGAGCTGGTCGTTCGGCCGGTGGGGAGCGGCGGCGGTGGAGGTAAATTTTATTTTTATTTTTTAATAGTTGTAAAATGAGGTGGAAATTGTAAATATTTAAATTTTATTATTTTTTTAATGGCCACGTCACTCATTTAACGGTCAACTATAATAGTTGACTGCCACGCCAGCAAAAACTAACGGAGACTAACGGAGAGTGACCAAACTTGAACTATTGAACTAATCTTAGTGACCATGAATGAAATTAAATATTTGCAGTGACCAAATATGAACGGTTTTAGTAAACCCAGTGACCATCCTTGCAATTAACCCTTTTTTTTTCCCTCCAAAATTCCCCCAATCTCAACGACCATGAAACTCAATCTCAGCATGGCCATTCTCCCCTGACCTCTCCCTCTCCTCCCGCCTTCTAAACCTTCCCGCAAATTTTTAGTTCCACCACAACACTAACCCCAAAACCCTCAATCCTACTTCCTTCCTCGACAATCGCCATGTCCAATCCAAGAGACAGTTTTTGCTCACAACTTCAGTCGGTCTCATAGCCCTAACTTCCCAAACCCCACTTCCCAATTCCTTCGTTGAACCTTCTCCCACCCCAAAGCCTGCATCTTTCCCAGGAATCGTCAACACAAAAGCTTGGTTTCGGCACTATGGAGATGGGTTCTCAATCCGGGTCCCTCCACAGTTCGAGGACATCGTGGAGCAAGATGTAAACTGTTGCATTTGGCCTTGATTCGTCCAAAGTGAGAAATAAGTTTTGATATTTTTTTTTCTGTGTGCTTGCTGCGTATTGAGGTTCTGCAGGATTTGAATGCGGGATTGTCTTATGGTGATAAGGTTAAGCCGCATACCTTTGCTGCTCGGTTTGCCACTGCTGATGGTACATTGACCAAGTTCTACACTATGTGTTTTCTTGTATTGTTGTGGAAATTGTGGGAGTTGAATTTTTTTTAGTTCAATGTGATTGTCTTACTAAGATGGTATTGAATGTGGAATTGGCATCGGATGTAGTCATGTAGATCTGAAGTTGTAAGTGTCTGATTCGCCCCACCAATCAGCTCAAAATCACATTTTTAGAGATCTGGGTATAACAGATTGCCAATTGCCATGCTCAGATGTGATTTATTTGAATGGTTACTGGAAAGGGCAATGAATTGCTCTTGCCAACTCTGATCGATACTTATCATTGCTACATGACTTTGTGCAGGCTAAAGATGTTAGCGATTTGGCTTCCTTGAAAGAGGCAACAAAAAATCTTCGTTCAAGGCATGTTTAATTGTGCTTAATAAACCATTTTGGGTCTAGATTTTCATTCCCTAGTTGATTTGGATTGTCGTAGCAAGGAACATCCGTTGTTCATATTGCTCTTTTCCTCGTGTCAATTGCAGCTGGTCCGACTATATACACTGCCAGGAGCACCAAAATAAAGGAAGAAGAAGGTCTGAGGTAAGGGGGTCTAATTAGAACTCTTTCCATTTTCCATCATTTTGATAGAAACCTATTTCTAGGGTTCCTATCGGGTTGGTTTGAGATTGAGGATTGATAGATAGTTGGGGATTTAGATTAGAATTAGGGATTGAGATTGAGATTTGAGGAAGAAGAAGAATAAAATCAAGAATCAGCCGAGGCCTTGAATTAGGGAAGAGAAGAAATTAGGAGTTGAGAGAGACGAAGTTTTAGAAGAGATACTTCACATAATACTTTTCTTATTGCCCTCAATGAATCACAAAGTACATATTTATAGAATAATGATAAACCCTAATTATAAACCCAATAGGACTAAAAGACTACTATTTACTAACCTTATTAATAATTTCCTACAAATAATAATGATAATTAAGATAGAATCATGAAAATCGTGTTTCTATCATATTTCTAGCTGACTGGCAAATGTGTTGCATCTCCCTTCTCTTGAACCTATTTCAGGACATATTACTTCTACGAGTTCGGTAGATATGAACAGCACGTGGCGCTGGTGGCAGCAGTCAACAGTGGAAAGGTTTTCAATGACTACTCTCCATCTTTGAACTGTTTAAATGTTCTTGGGGGCTCTCGTTTTTTGCTAAGTTGGAATGCACATGCATTGTTAGGACTTCGTCAGAACTCCACATCAAGATGTTTCTTTGATTCCACTGCCAGTTGAGCTCGACCTTGATTGAGGAGTTCAACAGCCAAACTCAGGTACAGAATTGTCTCCTCTTCCTTGGCTATCAATTCCCTCCTCTGTTGAGAACCCTAAGGAGTGGGTTAGGAAATGTGATGAACTATTCTGCACCCACAATGTACCTGGGAATCAGAGGGTGGGTTTGGCATCAACCGGCCTCGAGGGGAAGGCTCTAGGGTGGTACCAGTATTGGAGTTTGGGTCGTGCATTTTGCAGTTGGGCGACGTTAGCTGATGCTGTGTCGTGTGAACGTTTTTGGGACCTTGACATAGCCTGTGTAGTTGGGGTGTTCGATAGGATTAGGCAGCAGGACTCTGTAGAAGGTTATAAGGAGCGATTTGTAGTGGTCAAAGTGGCATTGCTTCGGTTGAAATTATCCCTACCTGAAGATTACTTCATCAAGGGCTTTATACGGGGCTTGACTGGTGAAATTCGAGCATTGGTGAGGAAGTTTCAGCCACAAACTCTTCTAGAAGCATATCACCATGCTCACTTGGAAGAAGCTTCCATCGAGGCCTGCAAAAGGAAGAAGCAATCATAGATTGGTGATTACTTGGGATATTTCTTCTCCATGCCTAGTTGATGAGAATGGTGATTTTGTGACTGAAGATGGTGAGATAAGAGCAAACGAACTCCACAGCCCTGTACTAGAGTCAACTGTTGTAAGTGGCTCAATAGTAGTTGTTGCCCATTCTGATATTAGTGCTTTAAACTCAGATTCTTTCTATGTTAGTACTTTGGCTAACTAGGTTAGTGGAGATATGCAAGCGAAGAATCCATCTCAAGGGCTTCACACACATCAAGTTTTGGCATGAATGAGATCATTACATCTCAAGCTGTGGGAGTGGAAGCAGAATCAGCTGTGTACAATGGTGTTTCAACTATGAAGACTAACAGTTTGGTGTTGGTGAGCAGTCATGATTTTTGGTGGCTTCGAGTGAAGTTTAAACTAAATGATGCTTGTCTAAACTTCAAAGAACCATATATAGACTTCGTTTTAAAGGAAAGAATTGTTGCTGTTAGAGCAGGAAATGTGTACCAGGAAGGCAGCAGTTGTCTGGATTTCCATGACTTTTCATGCTTCTGTGATTTTGTTTTCTTCATCTCTCGCGGAAATGGTCAAAAGAACATTACTATAAACAAGGCTTTTCCTGCATGGAGATGGGTCTTGGATGGGACGTTTAGGTTGCTAAACCAATGGTGTGACTTTGTAGGGAGAAATCAGCAATACAATATTTCTGAGGATACATGGCAGCAAGTTCTGGGTTTTAGTCACTGTGTATATGAAAATCTTGAAGGCTACAATCCTGAAGGTGCTTTGCCTGTCCTTGTAGATGAATTTGTCGAGCACATGTACAGAACGTTTGGGTCTAAGAAGAAGTGCAACTGTAAATCCTATGATCATGTTGAGTGCAATCTTAATCATGTGTTTTTGAAGACCCAGGGGCGATCTCAAAAAGGTTGCTGAATTAGCAGTCTGAAGATGGTTTGTTGAATTAGCAGAAGTCTCATCAACAATGAAGCTGCAGCTCATTTCCTTTCTCTTCAATTTCATTGCCTTGTGGTGTTCATTATCTTTTGTGGTTCATTGTTGAATTGTACGTTGATCCTAGTAATTTTTTTTTTAGACTTGAGGACAGTGTATTCTCAAGGGGTCGGGATTGTAACAACTAGGACTGATTTGTCAATCATGGTTAGCTTGGGGAGTCGTTTGTAATTGGCCATGCCTACAAAAGAGATGTGTTGTGCTGTAAAGAAACTATGGAATAATAGAATTATTTCTCAATCTTTCTCTACTCTCTGATCTTCCGTCTCCTTCTTCTTTCCTCTGCAACTTCTCTGATCTCTTCTGTCTTCTCCCTTCTCTATCCTTCTTGTCCTTCTTCTTTATGGTGATAAGGTTTAGCCAAAGACATTTGCTGCTCGGTTTGGCAGTGCTGATGGGTACATTGACCAAGATCTACACAAACACAATATGTGTTTTCTTGTATTGTTGTGGATACTGTGAGAGTTGAAAAGTTTCTAGTTCAATGTGATTGTCTTACTAAAATGCAATGGAATGTGGGATTGGCAACGGATGTAGATCTGAAGTTGCCAGTGTCCTGATTTGCATTGCCCCACCAGTCCGCTCAAAATCACCTTTTCAGAGGTCGGCTATAAGTATAACAGATACCAATTGCCATGTTCAGATGTGATTTATTTGAATGGTTACTGGAAAGGACGATGAAAAGCTCTTGCAACCTCTGATAGATACTTATCATTGCTACATGACTTTGTGCAGGCTAAAGATGATAACGATTTAGGTTCCTCCAAAAGAGGCAGCAAATAAATCTTTGTTCAAGGCATGTTTAAATTACTTGTGCTTAACAAACCATTTTGGGTCTAGATTTTCATTCCCTTGTTGATTAGGATTGTCGCAGCAAGGAACATTCATTGTTCATATTGCCCTCACTCCTGGACCTCCTGGATTTCTTGAATCGACCTCGAAGGTATGGCGGTTAGTCGATCGCTAAGTAGCAGATCGACCTTGGCCTCGATGTTGTGAATCGAGACCGAGAGTCCTTGAATCGAGTTCCTCAACTGTTGGATCTCCGTGAGCACTCTCACCAAACTCACGACCTCTGCTGTCGTATCGGTCGTAGTCGCAGCAGGTGGACGGACGGATTCTGCAGCCTGCTCCTCTAAGCGAGGCTCCGGTGGTGGAGACACGACCACTGGGGTGTCAACAGAAGGGCGAGGACTAACAGTCATCGGCTCTTGTGGGCCCGGTGCTGTCTCGACGACAGGTGTGGGCAGAGGATCACTCGGTGTGTGAGGCACCTCAGCCACCCCTGAACTCAACGAACTCACCACAGTAGGAGCTGGTGGTGAATCAACCACTATCGCCTGGAGCTCCACAGCTGTGGGAGAGGTGCCTACAAAAGAAACTGGTGGAAATCATACAGAAAATAGTTAATTACTCCATATGAGACCAATTAGTGGTAAGAATTAGGGGCATCAAGTTTTACATACTCATATTCTTATAAATACACCTATTGAGACTCTTAAGTGATCCACACGACCCCACAATCAATGAACTTTAATCAACATTATCACAAAATAATAAAGCCTGAAAGAAACAAAGTATGAAAATATCTCTTACCGTACGGACAGCCGAGAGCATCGAGTAACCTACACCTGATCCAGTTCAGACGACTTTTGGTAGTCTGTACCGCACTGGTGTATCGGCCCTTGTAGTACTTGCTGATCATCAGCAAGATGATGAGATGCATCGCAGCATTGATCGCCTGCCGAGTCTGCAATTACGTCAAAATCATTGATTAGTAATAGTTTAACATCATAAAATATAAATAATGCCGGTTGGTAAACTTTTGATATATGTTTTCCCATTATTAACAGACTAGTTGTTATAATACATAAAAGAAAATAGTTCTAATAGTAATTGGAACATGAGATTTTCATCACATGGCCTTCAGGCCAATTTGCCTTCGGGCTGTAAACATCTAATCTCTAATCACCCTAATCTTGCAATAAATCTGCAATGTCAACAAATTAGGATAAGAAGCCATCTGCAATAGCATCATATTTTATCTTTTACGGTTGCTAATATCTTAACCTGTGACTGTGAGTGTCATAAATTTGCTAGGTCATCCTCTCTATGCCCCTATTGTTCCGTGAATCTTTAAGTAGTTTTCAAATTTGCTTAATTGGATTTAATGCATTTGTTGGATTGCATAGTTATTTCCTGAGTCCCCATGCCTTGTCGTGTTTAGTTTAGTTTATGATCAAACCAACATCATATGATCTTAAGCGATTCAGGAAGAAGAGGATCATGTGTATTCTGCAAATTTCTTTTTGTTTAACACTATTGATTTCAATTGATGTTGTGTAACTCAGAGTTCCAGGTATTGATAGAGCTACTTAGCCTCTAATGTATGATCAACACGCAATGGTTTTGAAGAAAGTTAATTAATACTCAGAATGTGTGAGATTGGTATATAGCTTAATATTATTGATTGATAAAAGGGGAGATCATGTTGATCAGCACAAAATGTCTATTTTGTATTCATGTTCGTTTTGATCCGCTTTAGTCATGTAATTTTCGAGCCTCA